ACCAGTGTGTGTAAAGGCTTGTCTCCATGTGACAGGGTGTAGACCCCACACAGGCACCAGAATTGACTGCACCTAAGGAGGGTCTGGGCAGGGGAAGGGGATGGGTTTAAAAGAGGAGGGAGAGAGAAGATAGTGAGCTCCCCCTTGTGGGAAGGGGCCTGGTAGAAGGTTGGAAGAGCAGAGAAGTAGATAGCCTGCTGCTGTGAGGATATTATACTTTAGGTGAGGGTCTCCTATGAAGGAGAATGATGGCCAGCTGAGCCCAATTCGGGCTGAAGGTTTAGTTGTTTTTATATTTCTGCTGGCTGTGTTAAAGCCAGGGGTAATCAATTATTTTTTGTCAATGTCCAAATGTCTTGGTCAAGTCTAATCAAGGTCCAGACTCCTGAGAAAATAATTTTAAAAACCCAATAACAACAATAATAAGTAAATAAAAAGCATCTGGCGGTCCGGATTTGGCCTGCAGTCTGCCTATTGACTACCCCTGTGTTCAAGGATGCTGTGGCCCCAGAAGGGATCAAATACTTGAATGTGTCTTGACCGGAAATCAGGCCATTCCTGTGGCCTGAATAGGCCACAAAACACAAGCCGGGAAACTGGGACACAGCTACTATCATCCCACATCCACCTACTTGAGAGTGTGATGCAGCAGCAACTCTGCTGCATTCCCCTAGAAAATATTACTGGCATAAAGCCCCAAAACTCTCCCAAGTATGGACATAGTTATATCCGTATAAAAGTGCTTACAACCAGCATTGCTTATCCTATACCAATACAAGGAACTCTTATTCCAATACATCTGCATGGCTTAACAATATAACTAAATCAGAAAAAAAGCATTCCTCTAACTGACAGTTATATCAGTATAAATTTAGTGTAGACTAGGTCTAGTAGTCAAGGTTGGGGACAATGGAAAAAGGATACTGTACATTAGATTGCCTCATGCAGTTTTAAATGGTTTTAGACTTTTGCGACCTCACATGCAAATTAATTTGGCACTATTTCTTGCTGGAACCAGTCCCTGAAAACCTAACTACTAGATAAATTGTAATCCCCTTGAATACAGTTTACCCTCTCAGGGGTGCTGGAACAATTTGTATGGTAAGGGTGCTGAGAGCCATTGAACCAAACTGTAAACCCTGTGTATGATGGAAACCACTCCAAGTTAAGAGGTGCTGCAGCACCCGCCACACCCATAGTTCCAGCCCCTGTGTACCCTCTCTACATCCTGATTCTGCCCCCATCAAAGTCAATAGACATTTTGCCAGTGACTTCAGTGGGAGCAGGATTGGGCCCTTAGCATTCTATAGTATAGTATATCTAAAGACTGGCTTATGGGGGTATTTAAGCGCTTTACAACAGTGAAACAGTCTTGGAAATAAAACCTGTGGCAATGGAAAGACTCCAACTGACCTTAATAGTCTCTGGATCAGATCTTTAATGCTGGCTGCTTATTGCAACTAATATGATACTGACAGCCCAATAGGGGCTTCTAATGAATTCTGTAAAGTGTCTGCTTCTATGGACAATAACTTTTCTGCCAATTTTATACTGGGCTTTTGTCTCTTTCTAAATAGACTGCAAAGGACAAGCAGCTGTAAAGGCAACTACCACAAAGCAACATTAAATGTGTGGTTTCAGAGTAACAGCCATGTTAGTCTGTATTCACAAAAAGAAAAGGAGTACTTGTGGCACCTTAGAGACTAACCAATGGGTCTGATAAGTGAATTGCAAAAACCTAATTAAGCACCTTTGATGTATTGTAATTGGTTCTCTGCTATGAATAAGCTTTTCTTGATTATATTTCAACCACATTGTTTGCTGAACAGGGGTGTTTTACAGAGAATAGAAGAATGCTGAGGTGGGTTTCTTCTTATGAAGCATTAGTATAAATGCAAGAGCTAGTTATGTGATTTCTGAGAGCATTTTTCTGAATGTTAAATCTAGACATATTTGTCTGCAATACAGAGGAAAGAGCAGATGGAAGCATACCATGCAGTTATGAAGAAGCCTTTTGTAGATGAAAACAGTAGCCCATACTATTGAATATATTTAATAAGTGGACCCCTGAAGCTTTGCTCTTAAATTGAAAAATCATGGATAGATGAAAATGAATTTTGGAAATCCCTAATCTTCTTCCCAAATATTCCTTCCCTCTCCCTGCATGAAGATGAAGCCTGGGTTCATGTGTGACACAATTAGCAAATTAATAACACATCACATTTATCTTTCCTGGGTGAGCTCATTAAACAACCCCCTACATTTGGCTTTAATAAGGCTTGATATATCTAGATCTTTAGGATAGGCTCACTGCCTTTTCTCTGCAATCTCGCAAGGACTTCTTCCCAGGAAAGGACTGCAGCCCTGCAGACTCAACCTGGAATTTGAAACTCAAGCTATTTTCTTTCCGGTTAATGCGTGCCCAGATTCTGCCCCGAGTTAAATGAGTACAGTGCCATTGCTTTCAGCAGGGTTGCACTAAAAGGTATACATGAGGACACCATTTGGTCCCTGCAATTGGAACTGAATGAACAATTTTGTTGAGCCAGACCACAATCCAGCTTTTAGTTGAGCCAGAGCACAATCCAGCTTTTAGTCTTGTGTTGGCTGTGCCACCTCTAACAGGTAATACATATTTCTATCCCAAACAGCAGAAATGTTTCTGACTCCACCTAAGGAGTAGATCCAAATAAAAAGGTGCCATTTTTACACAGCCTCTTCTCACAATAGAAGCACATTTTAAGGTTATTCTTCAAATGATAGCAAACAAGACCAAGGTCAGCACTTTGAAAAACTAGGTTATGCCTGGTCCAGTAAATCCCAAATATGATAAAAGCTTCAGATAAAATAGGCTCAGTTTGAAGGATTTATTGTACATCATTAAAGGACATGGCTGGTGTAACACAGCATGTTTGTAGCTTGCTTTAAAGTTGTTTTACTGATACAGGGAGTGAGGGGAAATTGCTACCACCACTGGGATTCAGACGGGTGCGGCGAACTGTTCAAAGGCAGACAGGTCTCTGCAATGATGTTGTTGTTTTATCCTTTTGCTGGGCACATGTGGTGTCAACCCATTTTAATGCTCCCAGAGCAGAGATGGAATCCATCATCAGGAACTAGCTGCTTCCAAGAACCAGCATCAGACAATGTCCTATAGTGGTGATAGGAGCCACTGGCTGTGGAGCCAAAGAACCCTGATAGACACATTCTTCATGGGATTGGACAAAGCTGGTCAGCTAGTGTGTCAAAATGTCAATGTTTCTGTTTTTCAATTAACATTTTACACAATTTCCAGTTTTGGCAAGAAAAGGGGGGACAAAATTTGACAAAAAATAATTGAAATGTTTTTCTACTCTTTTACCATCTATAGAGCTGGTTTAAGTATCTGAAATGTTAAAATGTCAGTGAGAACTTCGATCAAAATTTCAGTGGAAAAAAGATGGGGAGAACATTGTGCTTTTTTTCTTCTGATTATTTTTTTCTTCTTCTTTAACCACTCTGCTCACAACCCTGACACTGAGACCGATCTGACCAGATTCCATCCTAAATCTTTGGTGCGGTGACTAGCAACATTGTCCAACTGGCAAGAGAAGTCCAGACCTACCAAAGCTGGAAGAATCTGTCATCCTTCAGCCAAAGGTAAAAATTCCATCCTTACTCATAGACTTCAAGGCCAGAGGGGATCATTGTGCTCCTCTAATCTGACCTGCACATTGCGAACATAAACCCTCACGCACCCACTTCAGCAAGTGCCCCATGATGCAGAAGGAGAAAAATCCCCAGGGTTCCTGCCAATCTGACCCGGGGAAAATTCCCTCCTGACCCTAAATATCCTTGAATAAGGAGCAGTGGTAAAGCCTGCCCCAACTGGACCAAGTACAGATGCTATTCAATGATCTTCCATTATTCCTGTTCCTGAGCTGTGCTTGCTGGAAGATGGTCAAAGAAAGACATGGTCTGAAAGCAGTGAGGGCTGTCCTTCCATGGGTTTAGCATTTGGCCCCGGGGGGCAGGAACGCGCAGTGACTGCTAGTCAAGAGTCCGTAGTGAGAAGTTTCTCCCAGGTAGGGGAAAAACGTTTTTGTTGCAGTCTTGGCTACACGTTGTCGTGCTTGCTCCTCAGTTTCGTTGCTTGCTCACGCGCAGCTAACCCGGTGCATCTAGCAAACACCATGCTGGCTCGGTGATCCACCCTACAGATTTCAGAGTAACAGCCGTGTTAGTCTGTATTCGCAAAAAGAAAAGGAGTACTTGTGGCACCCTACAGAAAGAGCCGGAAGCTGCACGTTTGTCTTGCTTTGCTCTTTCAGGCACGCTTCGCTTCTGCAGCTTGACAAGCTGTCACAGCAACGGATGGTGGCTTGTTTCCCTGCTGACGCCGCTTTTGAAAATCACCTTGCGCCAAGCTCATCGCTTGGAGCTCAATCTGCGCCTGCGCCCCGGCGAAAGAAACAGGCTGAGATGGATGACTCCTGTCAGCGTCTAAAGCAGCCCGCGGTCGCAGAAGAAACTCACGCTGGGGAGCGGGTAATTGCTGGATCTACTTGGATCCTGCCATACTCTGACATGTGTTCTGCCCCCCTGCTACGAAGTTGTACCCTCAACATGGAGAATCTGCCCCTAAATCTGAGTACGAGTGATTAATTTGCGGTGGGAGGGTTCAAAAACCAACCAACAAACCGAAAAAGTTGTCGGAGCCCGCGGGCTCCAGGTGCTGTCTGTACGTTTTGGTGCAGCTACTCCATCGCTTTGCAACCGGCGTCTAGATTGCTGAGTGCACTCCTAGCTGCTAAATCTGGTTTCTCCGTTTAGACAGTGAAAATGTTGCAGGATCATGATGAAAACGTGTCTTCATCGAGCAGAGTCCACAGAGCAGACCAGCGCTTTCCCAATGAGATTCGCCACTACAGCAGGCTGCAGGACAGACTCCTCCCCCCCCCCCACCCCCCGGACGGCAGAGCAGCTTCACTTGTGTTTTTTAGAGTGTATACTTTGGAGCCAACAATTGCCAGGGAGGAGCCAGATCCAGCCAGGGGCCGGGTCTGGGTTTTTTCAGTGTTAATGTGCGGGGATGTGTCAGGGTCTAGAATTGGGGAGGGAGGGAGGAAGCGAGACTGTCTTTATTTAGATATTAGAAGGGGAGGGCTCGGCACCGAAACGCTGCAGCATCCCGCTACTGGCTCTGGTTTGCTTTCGCAGCCCTCCTGCTCCGGGACGCGTGGGGGCGAGGCTGGAGTTCCCTGGCGCCGCAGCAGCGGCCTGACTTGATCCTCTGGTTCTGACTGTACAGTTTCAGGGCTTGGCCCCCACAAACCGGCAGGCTCCGGGTCGATCCAGCCTGACTTTTCGCCAAAGCTCCCCGCCTACGCCAGGTCCCCCTGCCGCACTGAGAAACTGACCCCTTGGGGTAAGGGTACCACCCTGAGGTGGGACCCAAGGGAACTGGGTGGCACCGCCTCCATTGTTTATCCTGGCTGCCTAGTGGAGGAGGAGGGCCCTTGATTTCACCAGGGAACAGGAGGGGGGATAGTGCTGGGAGCCGCAGGGAATGAGGAGTAGAGGCGAACGGTGCAGCAGGGGGAGCGACCGGCGGGGCTCGGGTGCAGCAGGATCCGCCGCTGCCGGGGCGTGGGCGCCTGGGCTGGCGCTTCCCTGGGTCAGGGGGTGGGGAGCGCGGCCCGGGGGAGCCGCTCCTCTGCCCCGGCGCCGGGGTCCGCTGGCCAGGCGGGGAGCATGGAGGAGGCAGGCGGCCGCCTGGACGCGCAGTACGAGCGCCTGGCGCTGGACACGGCGCTGAGCACCCTGCTGGCCGTGCTGCTGTACGTGGCGGTGAAGGTGAGCGTGGACAGGCTCCGCCACTGGAGGGCGAGGGTCTCGGTGCTGATCGTGGGGGCTGGCCCCGCGGGGCTGACGGCCGCGCTGGTCGCTGTCCGCTCGGGCAAGGTGCTGAAGCTGACGCTGCTGGACGAGCGCTGCCGGGCAGCCCTGCTCTGCAGACCCCAGCAGATCGCCCTGCAGCCGCGCAGCGTCCGGTTCCTGCTGGCCCTGGGGGTGGATTTCGATAACATGGAGGGCTGCTGGGACAACGAGCACTTCTTCACCCGCATCGGCGTCTTCCAGGAGCACCTGCTGAGCATCCTGGAGCAGCAGAAGTACAGGCAGGAGATCCGGATCCTGCTGGGCACCAAGGCAAGTCCCCGGCTCCCTGCAGTCCGCGCTGCAGCGCCGAGTTACACTGGCTCTGCCTGGGGACTAACTTCGGCTTGCCCCTTACGCCCCCTCCCCTCTGACTCCTTAGGAGGGGAGGGGGGCTAGGGCCCGACCCACTAGACTCACTGGGACCTGTTTTTGCCAATGGGGTGCAGGACTGCGCCTCTGAGGGCTAGTGAGTAAACTTGTCCCCGCCAGCTTCCCCCCGCCGCCCCAACTTCCTTCAGAAAGGGCCCGATCCTTCGATTTGGTCCCACTGAACTGGGTGAGGAGGGGGCCAGCACCTTACCGGACTGGGCCCACGGCTTGGGGGAGGGACCGCCCCTGGAGTTCTGTGTCCCAGTCGTTAGGAAGGAACTGTGCAGCAGCCCCAGCCCCCCCCCCCCCCGCGCAGGAGGGAAGGGAGGGAGCATCACCAGGATGCCTCCCTTATTGGAGCAAAACACACGGAAAGAGGAAAAGGTAGAGAGGAAAGGTGTTCTGGGTGTGGAGTGCTACCTTCCTGTCTCTGAAGTGTGGGATGCCTTCTCTGGAAGAGATCGTTGGGAAATGGTTCTGGCTCCTGTGCACACTTTTTTTTTTTTTGGGGGGGGGGGGACAATGTTTTTTCTCAGAAGTTCACTTTGCAATGTTTTGAGCTTTTCATCATTTTATTTTCAAAAAAAAATGTTGGTTTCCAAATATTTTTTGGGGGGGGCGGGTTGCTTGGGTTTTTGGAGGACAGGTTTTTGACAATCACTCCCCCCATATATTTTGTTAAAAATTGACTTTCAATGGGAATTTCTACTTAGTTGAAACCCTTTTTCCATTTAAACATGATTACTGGAGTAGGTCAAAAGTTTTTATTTGTTAAGCTTCGCGGGGTAGGGGCACCGGGTCCCCAGGAGGAGAAGGGGAAAGTATATATTGTTGTCAGGACAGGATTACAACTAGCTTGTTGACAAAAATAAACAAGCTTAAAAATTAATTTTTCAGGATTAACCTTTTTTAAAGTAGGACTTCTTCGATTTTGAATTACTGTAGTGTAACTGAGATCAGGGCCACCTTGTGCTAGGTGCTGTATATAATTAGAGTTTCTGCCCCAGTGAGCTTACAACTGAAACAGACAAAGGAAAGATGATATCCCCATTTTACAGATGAGGAACTGAGCTACAGAAAGATTAGTGAGTCGATGAGTGTCACACATGGAGTTTGTGACAGAGCAGGGAATAGAAACCTACATCTTGTGGGTCCCAGCCCACAGCCTTAGCCATCAGACAATCCTCAGAGCTAGCCCTGTAATGTTTAGCTAGAACTGCAGTTAATGGACAGTAACTGGCAATCTGAAACTTGTTCTGTATCTTCCTTTGTATGGTGAAAAATAGGTCAACATAATTTATTTTATTACAAGCAATCTTTATTTTTGCTATTATGTTGTTTTTAGATTCCAGGCAGCATATGTTTTCTTGATTCCAGTGTAATGAGTCAGATGACATTATGTTAAGGGTTACATTGACACACTGCCATTTCATATTTACTTCAGCATGTATGAAATTAAGTTAGTGTACATTACAGGATTAATTTAGCCAATAATGAGTTGTTGTTGTTGAACAGATCTATAAATCTAACATACTGTTAAACTAATTACCATCTTATATATTTAGTAGCGTAATCTGTCTCCGCCAGCTAAAGTAAACAGAGTGGAAAAATATAAAGATTGAAGGCACTAAACAAACTGTAGCCAGCATCTAATTAAGCAGGGAACAGATATACTGAAGGGTGACCTCAGAAGGTTCAGTTTGGATGCGAGCATAATTTAGAAAGACTGTCCAGGTTTAACAATGGAACTAGCTTTGGTTAAATGCATCCTACCCAATTGAGGATTAAGATATTCAGCTCCAGGGACCTCAGTTCAAACAAGCTTGATCTCCTCTCTTATCCCCTGTGGACAAATACAACTAAACACATGCACAACCCACCACATACATTAGCAGAATTCAAGCATTAAGACATCTGTGCTGAAAGTGAGTCCTAGACATGAAATAGCAGGGAGTGCTGATGGTCACAATTCTAATGCATTGACAGAGCTATGTGGGGAATGCTTGCATCGCACTAGCCTATCCAATATTTGCCTAAACTCTTATTAGTCCCTCACTAAGGCCTTGATCAAGCAGAGTATTGAAACATGTGAGTAGTACCGCTGCATTCAGTGGTTAGCTCTCGATTGGGGGACTACCCATGTAAACTTAAGCAATTGCCTTGCTGGATCAAGTCCTGTACATTTTTGATACCAACCTCATTGAAATCAATCCAGTCTTTGGATCTGCCCCAATATTCCACAATTCCTATTTTGGAGAAAAATATATCCTCCCCATTCTTGTTCAATTATATTGACGGAGATGCAAAATTGTGAGCCAGTTTCAAATCAGCAGGGGAAAGTGTTCATCTTGACATCATTAAACATTGTCATTGTCCCAGTGCATGAGAGGTTCCAGACTCCTGTCTGTCACATGGGTCATCAAATGATATAAAGATTGAGAAGTAGCTGTGCCACCAGCTAGCTAAGGGGAAGAGTATGTCTTCCCTTCCCAGCTGGCTAAGAAGTTGGACCGGTCTCTGGCCATTGGAACCTACTGTTCTGAGTGGCTTGTTTTTGTCTGGAATCTTTTGTTTAGAATCAATAAAAGAAAGCCCTGAAAAAAGTGATTTGAAACTGTCACTGAGGCTATTATTCATCTTCTCTGGATAGGGGCTCGTCCACTAGTCTACAAGGGGCTATTTTATTCTCCTTGTCCATTCAAGCCTTGACCTTTATTAGACTGTAAACAAGGGTGACAATTGTGAAAGTGGCTTTGTGATATCAACACCTATCCAGGAACTGGGCTTGAGAACAAAATTGCTATCGGATTATGCTAAATTCAGCTCAGTAATGACTAAATATGAATATAGCACATTACCAATCTCTCATCATCCAATCCAACTCATGATACATTATATAAACACATCTAATAATATTTTATGTTCACACAAGGCTTTTCACTCTGTGACCTTATGAAAACAGAGTACAGATTGAAAAGAAAATTGGTCCAATCCTGGCTGGTATAAATCCGTGTAGTTCCACTGAAGTCAGCAGAACTATGCACCAGCTGAGGCTTTGATCCAGTATTGCATACTCTTTAATTTTAGAGTATTAACTCTTTGTTAATTTGCATATTAACAAACAGGAAGACTCTCTCGGTATTGGCTGTTTGTTTGTCGGACATGGGATAATTTCCAGCTAATGGGGACAAATTAAAGCATGATTAATGTTCAATTTCTTGCAATATAACAGATGAGTTTGATTTCAAACATGACGTTTTCCAAATGATAGACCTTATCCTGTCTGGTACTGAGCAAATGCAACTCACATTGTAGTCAATGCCTCTCAGTCAGGTCCGAATGTGTTGCTAGAATTCACAATTTCTTTTGAAGACCTGGTTTAAGGAGTATCCCCAGCTGCCAGATGTGGTAGCCATCAAAGAGAGCATGACACTTATGTACTGAGGGGAGCAGGCACACTAAATCATTCTCCAACATCCCTAGTAGTTGATCTATAGAATGGAATAAGCAGCAGTGCCGAAGAAATTATTTTTTGTTCTGAACACCAAATGTACATGTATGATGCACATGTTTTAAAAAAGTATAAAGGGTAGCCTACAGGGAAAGGAGGCTGGGAAAGTAAATGCTTCCTTGGAGTACTTTCTTGATAAGAAGAATGAGGTAAGGCCTCCAAGTGTTTTGTTTTTATATGCCACAATAGACTGGCTCCAACCTACCTCAAGGACTCCTCCTTTCTTCACATCCTTCCTTTCTTTTCATCTAGCACTGAGTTCCTCAACCATTCTTCTGCACAGTGTGGCCTCTTTGGAACCAAGAGTCTTCTCTTGTACAATTCCTTTTGTCTCAAATAGCCTCCCAATATCATTGACTTCATCTCACTGAAACTCTCAGATTGGGGGGGGGGGAACCCCAACCTCTTGTCTCTTGTACATCTCTCCCTCTCCCTTGCTGTTACTACTTTGTGGAACTGTACTAATTACTCTTAGAGCCTTCTGGCATCTGTATGAAAAAAAAAAGGCATACATATCACTATTGTACCCATATAACAAACCCTGGCCTCAGACATACATGCAGGGAAGAACCCAGGCCCTTTAGCATCAAACACAAGTCTCTACCTCTTGAACAAAAGGAGAACACCTTTAGGTGTGAGGAAGAAACACCTGGGTTGGGAGGATGGTGTATTACATGTGCTCAGGTTTCAGAGTAACAGCCATGTTAGTCTGTATTCGCAAAAAGAAAAGGAGTACTTGTGGCACCTTAGAGACTAACCAATTTATTTGAGCATAAGCTTTCATGAGCTACAGCTCACTTTATCGGACAGTATGCATCCAATGAAGTGAGCTGTAGCTCACGAAAGCTTATGCTTAAATAAATTAGTTAGTCTCTAAGGTGCCACAAGTACTCCTTTTCTTTTTACATGTGCTCAGTTGGTTTTGGAAGCTAATTCCTATTGCTGGAAAACTTCTTCATGATGACATTCAGCACATAGACAAAATTTTAGCTAAGAAATTTTATAGTCTGAAATAGTCTGGCATGTATTTAGATTGATCTTGCACTCTTGGTCATTTTATACTATTAGTTTTTTGGAGAGGCAACATGGCAGTGATTACAGAACTGAAGTGGGATCCAAGAGACCTGTAGTCTATTCTTGGCTTTGCCAGTGACCTGCTATGTGATTTGGGGCAAGTCGCTTTCCCTCTTTGAGTCTCTTGCTGTGTTTGTATAGTGGGTAGCACAATGGGGCCTCTAGGCATGTCCATAATACTATTGTTTCTAATAATATGTTTATAATGTTTTATCTTATGAGGGGGGTAGAGAAGTAGAAGGAAAAAAAGCAAACTTCCAGCCCTGATGCAAATTTATATGTATCATGCCTAAGGTTAAGATTTTGTCACGGTTATTTTTAGTAAAAAATCAGACAGGTTGCAGGCAATAAACAAAAATTCACCGAAGCCTGCAACCTGTCCATGAATTTTACTAAAAATAACAGTGGGGAGGAGGGAGGGCTGACTACAAGGGAGACAGAAGACTAACATCCCCACCCCCCTGAGGGGGGAGGGGCACCAGCACCTGCCACAGCTGTAGTGGTGGGGTCTAAAGCTGAAGAAGTCACGGAGGTTTGTTAAAATCACAAAATCTGTGACCTCCATGACTAAATCGTATCCTTAATTGTGCCTAGTGCTGCAAAGGTAGAAATTGAGTAAAATGTTGCTTCATAATTCAGAGCAGAAACAAAGCTAATGGGAAAATTTAAGGTTATATAAGCGATAACTGCATAGCAGCAGCAGTAGTGATAGGCAATAAATGTCTCCAACTCCGAAAAACCAAAGATACAGGCTCCAGCTTTACAATCTTCTGAGATGTTTGTTCATGGGTGACTGCCTCTGTTGCTCTAGAGTTGTGGGTTTTATTTGACCATTTTCATAGTTAACATAAATAGATCATTTTAAATGTGAGCTTTATGGTGAACAAAAGATCATATATGGCAAACACAAAGATAAGACCACTGGGTTAATAACTAAGAACAGTCAAGCAAACAAAGATTCTTTTGCTACTTTCATCTTATCTGATTTGAAATTATGTACAGAGATATATCAGATCTAACTAGTGAAAGCAAGTACCAGTACTATATAATTAAGCAACAGTTCAAGCCAAACTGGCATTTCCAGTTAAGTTTGTTTGCACCCTCACCAACAAAAAGCAAGGCCAAACCATGAGTGTGTCAGTGAACTAGATGTAAGTGGGTTTATTGTTCTGAAAACTCTAACATGAAATATACAATAATTATAAGATAGTGCTCCTTGTCATAAGCTTTACGCAAGCCAGAGTGCAAAATGGGGGTGGGAGGGTGGGAAGGAGGTAGACGGGGGAACCTAAACAAAATTAATAAAATCCCTGAAAACCCTACCAAAACAAGATACAACACTGCACATGCCCCCCCCCCCCCAAGGAGGGGATGAGAGGACAAACACATGATATATGTTCTTCATAAGAACGGCCATACTGGGTCAGACCAAAGGTCCAGTATACTGTCTTCCAACAGTGGCCAATGCCAGGTGCCCCAGAGGGAATGAACAGAACAGGTCATCATCAAGTGATCTGTCCCCTGTTGCCCATTCCCAGCTTCTGGCAAACAGAAGCTAGGGACACCATCCCTTCCCATCCTGGCTAATAGTCTTGAACCCTGTTTATAGTCTTGGCCTACACAACATCCTCTGGCAAAGAGTTCCACAGGTTGACTGCGTGTTGTGTGAAAAAAATACATCCTTTTGTTTGTTTTAAACATGCTGCCTATTATTGTGGCTTAATGTGCTACTGGAAGGTGATGACTGCAGTATAGGAACCTGCAGAGAATAGACTACTTATACAGATAGGTGGTCACCAGAATGAATAGGGGTTACACAATCTAGCCCTATGTGAACAGAAAGGTGTGATGCAGCAGTATAAGTATTAAATAATCAATGGGCTAAAATATAGAAGCAAAAGTAAAGTGGTTGAATATGTCCACTTTTGGGGTCAAATTTGTGTGGTGAACTCCAGGGATTCTGGAGTTATGCCAAGGCTGAATGTTTCCCCATTATATTGGGCACATTCCCCCATTTTATTCATGATTATGCATTAAAGTGTAAATCAGAATCAGTTCTGTAAGTTCTATTGGTGTAAATTGGTTATGTTGATTTTACACCAGCAGAGGATCTGGCTAAGAGGTCTGAAGGCCGGAAGTGATTGTTCTGATGAGCTAATCCGAACTCCTGCATAACCCAGGCTATTTTTACCTCCGTTCCGCGCTCTCTTGTGAATTTATAAATCTTTCAAAATTGTTTACGGTTTTTTTTGTCTTTCATTTCATAACATTCTAAATTTTTTTTCTGTTATTTGAAACTCTTAGCTTGTGCTTTAAAGAAATAACAGTTTCAACTGATAGGTACAATTGTTAATGCTATTAAATCGGATATTGCCACAGCTACCTTATATCGAAGTTTAGTCAGATATTTCATATATGAACATCAATACAGAATTGCTTAACAATTTCAGGTGAACTAGCACAGTGGGTGCTCAGAAATACTGGCAAAACTGTCAGACGCATTAATTCTATCATTTAGAGTTGTACTTTTCCATTTACAATATATGTTTGAGAATATTGTTTGGGAACAACTGTTGTGGCTGTGTTTGATCATTATGAAATTTGTTTGAAGGACAGCTCTAAAAACCCCTTAGGCCACAATACTGTGTTTTACTGTAATAGGTCGACATACAACATTCACGGTCAACTCTCCTTTTCTTTCAGTTCTCAGATGACTTTATAAGGAAGAGTTTAGCCTCTGAGTGGCCAAAAATAATTGTGATAGCAGATGGATCCTGTGGAGAATCAAGCTCAGTTCTCGGAATCAGTCCAGATTACATTGTGGAATCCTGTAATGCTTATGGAGCAAATGCAGCTATTGAGAGGCCTGATCAGAGGCAGGTAATGAGAAGAACACTCTTTGCTATCAGTTATTTACTCCCATCTGCTGTATGATGCTCTATACTATAGAAATAAATAGGGGATTTAAGGGCTTTTATGCTGCCATTTGACATTTCCTTACTTTCCTAGAGTTTGCTTGCAAAGTATTTTTCCCACTGAGTTAAATAGGTCACACTTTATATTCTGGGGTATATTTTAAAAGGCTTTTATAAAGGGTGAATAAATGATTGATAGATGTTCTAAACATGTTACAGACACATGAGAAGTATGTGTTGTAGATAGTTCTAAGTAGATTGGTAGAAGGTCTTACGGTTATAAGCAACTTACTGACCAGTTGGGCCCTGTAACAACTGAATAATCCTGTATTAAAACATGTATATTAATCATTCCTTACCTCCATCAATACCTTATGTAAGGTTATGAATGTTACATAACGGATAACATGTTTTTGCTATTATTTTGTTGCCTGAGTTCAAATTAATTTATTTTCAATATTAAGAAAAATAGACAACCCCAACAGCTTCATATTCAACTTTCTTGGCAAATACAGTAAGTAGGGCTGAACAAAATTACATAAAGGAACAGCTGATTAGAGAAAATGATTACCATGTGCAGTGGATCGTTTGACTGCTAGAATATTAAGGGAAGATGACAAGAATAGACACATTGCACACTATGCCAGTTGCCTTTTCCATGCATTGCTTATTAGTATTGCTGTGTTAATCCCGTCATCCTTTGAGAGGAAAGAAACAAGCCGTGGATGAATAGGAAGGGAAATGTCAAGCTTTATCAAGGCTCAGGAGATGGTGTTCATTATCCAGGGACAAAGACTCCGAGAAGAGAGCTCATAGGTAGGCTGAGCATAATTCAATTTTTTTATAATTGCAATAAATACCAATGTTTGTTTTTAAGCATTTTTAAAATTTCTATCTATATACATTTCACAGTTGTGGGAAATTTTGGTGAGCTCAAACAATCTGGGGAGTGATACCATTTTATTGACATCAAGAGTAAAAAAATAAAGCTTTATAACTATAAAAACACAAATTGTCAACCTCACGTGTCAAACAATACAAAGTACTGTAAACATCCTTAAATCAAACTTTAAGTTCTCAAGCAGCATTATTTTTACTCTGCCTATCTGTAAACTTCAATTATTATCGATGGAAATATTTTTTCAGCGGTTTGTGTGTTTGGTGAAATCGACATTTACCAACTAACAAAAATAGAATCCTTCCAAGCGCACTCATAAATCACAAGAACTTTAACCCTCACAGGCACTTTTTTTGTTGTTGTTCTTCCATAACCTTACAAATATTGCATGGGCCTGATTTTCAGATTGACTTTGAAGAGAATTTGCAGTGCTTAGCATCTCTGGAAATCAGGCTGCATGTGTGCAGAAATAACTAGCATTCTAAGCATACTACCAAAATGTCTCTGGGCTGCTCCCAATACTTCTGGAATGTTTTAGTACCAAAAAAGAAGCCAAGGAGGGACTCTAAGTTAACCTATTTGTTCGCATTAGGGTAGCATCTGCAAAGTGGTCCTCACACAAACTGCCCCAAAGAGCATACAGTTGTTTTTTTAAGTTAGTTGCGGTTAACTTGCGTGATTGATCGACAGCCCTAATTTAATCTTTAGGTAACAGATTCCTGTCTAATACAATTGGTAGTGACTGGAAGTCATTATTGTTTGTTACATCTGACTTGCTGGCTTGTGAAATGAGTTTTGGCCCAGATCTGCACTCATTTACACGCTCATTTAAGAACATGAGCAGTCCATTGACATCCTCTGCACTTCCTATTCTGCACCCCTGTCACCAACTCTAGACATCAGTAGAGAACCATAGACTGGAGGGAAGGATTTGGCCTCAAGCCTTTTTCCATCTTTCTTTTTGACGAGGAAGGGAGAGTTATGGTGATAATTCATGTGTAAGACAAGGGCTGAGAAGATATAGAAAAATACCTAGCGACGTGAGCAATGTCATGATGAGAAATAAAGAAGCGATTTTACCCAACATCAACAACTAGTGGACAGTTAGGATAAGAAAAAAAGTCTTTAGTAGTGAAGTATTTAAATAATTTTCCACAGGAGTAGAAAACAACCATATTTAAACTAGCAATAAGCAGTAAGAATCTCCATAGGGATTTATCTATAATGTTTCTATAGTGCTAGAGTGGGGCAGACCTTTATAGGGGTGTCCAGAAGAGCGTGGAACATACAGGGAGGCTCCACATCTGGATTTCTCCCCAGAGCCCCAAAGGGGCTGAAAGAAAGCCATGCCGTGGTCTCCAGTTCTCCTCTCACTAGCCCATGCCACACTGGATTTGGCCACACTGAGATGGCGCAGACTACATCAGCCTTTACTTACCCACCTTAACAAATACTCTACACTTGTGAGTAAAGGCTGAAGAATCTGGTGCTGTAGTAGCAAGCTGAAATATATGGAACAAAGACTGGCTATTTGACAAAACTGGCTCTGTCGAACTGTCTCAAGTGACGATAGTCTCAACACAAGCAGAACTTATTTTTTCTTTGCATTATTATGTGGGACAAATTGTGATGTATCTGGGTCCTGCAGATCAATGGATTTGTCTTTGAATGTGAAATTAATTTCCTGTACATGTATAGTGTAAGATGTGTATGTTTGTAATTTACGATTGACACAAGTCACGCAGGAATTTTGTGGTCTCTCTTCCTCTCCCCTCTCCCCCCAGCAAAAGTGCCTAGGCAGCTTCAAATAACTGTCTGCCTTATAAATTATAAACCTGTTCAGTTAATTAAAAGTTACAATTAACTTTGCATTTTATGTGATGTCCAGAGAGATTTTTCCTTTTCTGAGGCAGTTAATTTCTAATAACACACAAGGCCCACCCCTGCAGCATTACTGAAAAATTCTCTAATAATAATTTGCCCTTATGCATTCACAAAAGAATAAAGTATCATTATCCCCATTAACAGATGGGGAAACTGAGGCACAGAGGGGTTTAGTGGCCTGCACAAGATCACACAACAAGGCAATGTCAGAATCAAAAGTAGAATCAAGTTCCTTGATCTCATGACTGAACCAGTGCCCAGTCCACCGGACTATGCTGTGTTCCTGTGGAAAAGGCAGTTTGCTTTTAATGTTCTTAATGCAAGTTCATTGCGCTGAAAACACAATATACTAGTATCCCAGAGGTGTTCTTTTCTCACCCTTCAGCATGAAGAAAAACCATCTAGCACAACATTGGAAGGAAATGAAATGGCAATGCAAATGCATGGGGTAACTTTCTGAATTCTTCTTATCTGGAAACAAAACCTCACTCTCTAAATATTTGATTCATTGCAAGGCATCCTATGTGAGGGTCATCAGGTAGAATCTGTTAAATGAATACATTAGTTAGATTAGCCCTTAATTATATTCCACACCCCCCCCTTTTCTTTTTTTTTGCACTTTATAGGTGCCAACTCCAGAGATCCGTGCTCACAGTCTATATTTTGATCTTTCTGCTTATGGAATGGATATATCTTCCACGGGTAAGGAATCTCTGAAGCCAGGATTTCATCTGAAAATCTATGGGACATTCCGTAATCGATACATGGCTTTGGCATGTCCAGCTTCTGATTCCAAAGTTGTTAGATTCCTACGGCATACTCTCAATTCCTCAGTGAGTATTCAGAACTATCGCTTTTCAAAGGCCAGGAAACTCTCTCTTTGAGAAGAGTATTATGTTACAATGTTTTTAAATTTGGTAACACCGAGCAAAATTATGCAGCCCTTTATTCAAGTAAAACTTTCATTTATGTCAACTGGCGTTTTGTTCAGTTGCAGAAAATTGGCCCAAATATATATGATTGGAGGCACACGTTCTTGGTTTGAGCCACTATGTAAAGAGTTGAGGTTCCAGTCGCATTGACTGGACACTCAGTTAAAGCGGCATCTTTCTCATGAGCAATATGGGAAACAATCTTTACCTGAAAAGAAAAGGAGTACTTGTGGCACCTTAGAGACTAACCAATTTATTTGAGCATAAGCTTTCGTGAGCTACAGCTCACTTCATCGGATGCATACCGTGGAAACTGCAGCAGACTTTATATACACACAGAGAATATGAAACAATACCTCCTCCCACCCCACGCTCCTGCTGGTAATAGCTTATCAAAAGTGATCATCAAGTTGGGCCATTTCCAGCACAAATCCAGGTTTTCTCACCCTCCACCCCCCCACACAAATTCACTCTCTTGCTGGTGATAGCCCATCCAAAGTGACAACTCTCTACACAATCTTTACCTGGGTACCTAAGGTATGTCTACACTACAGCTGGGAATGTGCCTCCTAGCCCAGGTAGACAGACACATGATAGCTCTGCTCTAGCATGCCAAAAATAGCAGTGTGAACATTGTGACATGGGCTAGCCACCTGAATAAGGACCCAGGGGAGCAGGCTGGCTTGTACTCTAAAGGCTAGCTTGCACCAACGCCTGCACCGCAGCGTCCATACTGCTAGCTCAAGTAGAGTTAGCGTGTCTGTCTACGTGGGCTGGGAGGCATGGTTCCAGCTGCAGTGTAGATATACCCTAAGTCAGCTAAGGTTCAGGATCCATCAGCGCTGCTTCTCTTTAAGGCCGTGAGAGACTGTCGCTCTTCAGAAATATTCAATGTTTTTTTGAGATTTTTGTGTGTATCTCCTTATGTCGGAGTGCTGGAAGCGAGCACTGGAGCCAGCATTGTGATCACTTCAGCATCAGTCAGCTCCCCAGGAAAAAGCTGGTTCGGGATATGCAAGCTAATTAGCAGAATAGACTGGGAGGGCCGATAAACCAATTAGCCCACCAGCTGTGGGGGATATAAAAGACACAGGAAGGAAGTGGGAGGAGTGAGGACCCAGGCTAGCTGTGTGGAGCGTTTTCAGACAGCTCAAGAAATGGAGATCTGTATTAGCCCTTTCCCACAGGGCCAAGGAAGAACCATAGAGAAGCACTAGAAATACTGCTGCACGGAACCGTCTTGGTGTTTGGTGATGGGAATGTAAATAAATAACACAAAGTTGTCACTGACTCCAGAAACCTTTCAAGCTCTGTCCAGTATGTGAGAATGGTGATGGAGCCTGCCCCATTACACTCCTAACAGCAGAGCTGGTGTGAATGCTGTCAGGGAAGTTTTTGTTGTTTCATCAAAGCTGAAATGGTTTGTGAAGATGCATCCATTCGGAGGAAGTTTTTGTTGGGAAGGTTTCTGAGGTCCACAGTGGAGTCTCTGGTCACTTCCACAGACACACCTTTTCAGCACAAAGCCTTTTAACACCCCACCCCTCCACAAATTTTTTTTTCCATTTCTCATGAAAACAAAACAAACTTCAAAACCTCAAAAAGCTGTCCCAAAACTCAATTGTCATTCTTTGGCTAACTCTACCTATTAGCATTAATGAGGTTTATCCATGTGAATCCCACAGCAACTGATGGGAACATACATGTTAGGGGCAAGATTGAGCCATTTGGCTCAATCCTGAGTAAGGGGTGGTGAGAAGTTGTGTTGCAGAGTCACAATTCCTCCTGTTACGGCTTTGCTCTGGTGGTGGTGAGGGTAACTTACTACTATGCTCTTTTCCAGGGTGTAGCATATTCCTACTGCACTACCAGCTTATTTCTACTGCAGTCAGCCAGGTCTGCTGGCTAGTGCATTGGGGAAGATGGAGTCTTAGCTCTCCTGTTCCCATATCAGGTGCTTAACTCCTGCTCTCCTCCTTGTGCCCAGATCCCCAATCCAAGAAAGTCCTACATGAATATAATATGTGGGCTTCTTACTCACCCCCATAGCTGTGTAGGGTCAAGACTCAATCGAACTATTAATAAAGGAGGAAATCAAACTGAGCTCACAAAAATTCACACTTGTTATCAGAGTCCAGCATATACTGTGAAAAACATGCAGCAACCTGGCCTTTAGTCAGTGCTGAATTTGTAATGAAGAAATGCTGGGGCTCAAGCAATTATTTTACTTTTAAAATTGGCGCAGCAAGCCTTGATGCAAATTACTCACTGACATTAGCGAGTAGGAATGAGCTCTGTTTTTTTCCACTGTCATGTCTAACGTTTTTAAGCCTTTAGAACATGAAGTATTGCAGAAGAAGTCGGTGTGAGTACCATGCCTAGTGCAGGAACACAAGTGCGTGCTGAAGGTTTTATTAACAGGTTTTCAGAGATCATACCACCAGAGATCCAGTCAACATGAAGCTTTTACAAGTTTAAGCACAGATTTAAAATGCTGGACTCCATTCAACTAGGGAATGGAGGTTCCTGCGTATACATAAGTTGTGCCAAGAAAAGCAATTGAAATGTGAGTAATGAGGGCACATTGTTAACCACTATTCTTCAGAGATCTATTTTTCATGTTAAAAGGCTGGGTAAGTGCAGCCTTTTTTGGGTGTAGCTTTCCCCTTCAATCTCTCTTGAAAAACAAACTCCGGTTCAGATTCAGTGAGAGAAATTAAAGCATCAGTGCAAGCATCTTGTGGAACAAGGGCCAGATTTTCAAGAAAATCATTCCTAGAGCTGGGTGGAATTTTCAGCAAAAAATGTAGTCGGTGACACCAAATTATTTTGTGAATTAATGTTGACTTCACCAAATTGTTCTAGATTTAAAAAAAAAATCCAAACAATTGATTTAGATTTTGGTTCAAAATTTCTTATTAAATTTTATTAACAATCAAATTGTTTTAAAAATGGTCAAAATTAAAAGAAAACGGTGGGTGGCATTTTGGAATGGCAAGCAAACGAAAAATCTTGTTTGTCCAGCTCTACTTATGACCAGATTTTTTTCAAGTGCTCAGCACCCACAATCAAAGTTTCAAAAGCATGCAGTACCCAACACCTTGAGCCTCTCTGAAAATCCAGTCCTATGTGGACACATCGTTCAGTGAGAAGTTTGTAATCTGCTTTTCTGGCTCCTGTATTGTATCTGAAATTAAACACAATTTAACTTTAACATACATTTCCATAACTTCTTGTGGTCTCACTGGATCAGCTTAACACCCCATTAGCAGGCTAAGCAAATGCACCAACTTTTTAAATTTGTTGATGGTGATACAAAATTGATGGAGCATGCAATTGATCTAATATAACTAGCCTTTACTAACGTGTTTGATAGTGTCTCATTAAGCTTTATTTGAAACCAGTTCGAATTGTTTTTGAATCAGAATCAAAAACTGGCCAAAAGACCATAAACAAGAGGCAATAAACAACGAAGTAGCCGCCAGTGGAATGCTTCAGGGACAGGTGTTCAGACCAGTGCTATTAAATATTTTTATTCAAGTGGCAATTTAAGGTTAAGGCTGAGCCTCTGGGGTACATTTCCAGTTCTACAAGGGTGAAGCCCATTGACTTTAAAAGGACCTGGTTGATATCTTAAACAATACTTGACAATCTAGGGGCCTAAAATTAACCCATGCTGCTGTGCTTTTCCCCCCAGTTGCATGATTTAAGGATACTATGCTAATCTATCGAGGTTATAATATGACAACCAGCCACACGGTATCTGAGCACCATCTGAGGGTGGTTTGACCATGATTCGGTTACAAATGGCAATTGCATAAAGGTCTTCATGGTGTACTTTGTCTCAGAAGTTCAAGGGTGATATGAACAGCATGTCCCTTCTTTCAGTTTGTCACCTTTTATACAGACTTAGAGACATGTCTAAAATGCTCAACACCGTCACGTGTCCAAGCATCTGAACATTCTACACTCATTAAATAAAACTTGTTTTAAAGATGCTTTATCAAAGAGGTTGCTATGCTGTTATACAAGTGGGTGTTTGTAACACGTACATCCCCAGGGTCTTGTTAGTGAGAGAAAGAGGATTGCAGCCAGAAGACGTGATATGCATCACTCAGATGGCACAAGAAGCAGGAGGTTGGAGTCAGAGACAGAGTGGAGGAAAAGAGAGGCAAGGGGTTTTTGTTCAGCTTTTTTTTTTTTTTTTTTATAAAAAGCCCTACTTAATGTACAGTCTGCCTTTCAGCCAAAAGAACCTCTGTTGGGCATTTCACAGAAGGGCTTATGATCCTCCTCTATTTAACTTGCCCAAATTGCTTAACACAAAAGGCCTGATTCTGATCTCACTCTTAGTAGTGTAAATCAGGAACAAGGGTAAAGCCACCACTGAAGTAAATTTTCACCAGTATAAATGACATCCAGAATTGGGCCCAAGATTCTTCCAAACCAAATACAGTAGCTCCCCGCTTAACGTTGTTTCGATCTTACGTCCCTGCTCCATTACAGAACATGCTCATTTAAAGTTGTGCAATGCTCTGCTATAATGTCGTTTGGCTGCCTGCTTTGTTCACAGCTGGCAGCCCCCCTATCAGCTCCTCTATGTCCCGTCCCCCCTAGCGCCTCCCACCCACCAGTGGACCCCACGGATCAGTGCCTTCTTCCTGCCCGCAGTACTCAGCTGGTTTGCGGCGTGCAGGAGGCAGGGGAACGAGGGGGAGCCTGCACTCAGCGTCCTCACTCCTTCCCCCCCTCCTGCCCCGCAAACACTGCAAACCAGCTGATTGTTGTGGGCAGGGGGGAGGAGTGAAGTGGAGGTGGTGGGAAGAGGCAGGTTAAAGGTGTTAAAGGTGGGGACTTGGGGGAAGGAGTGGAGTGGGAGGGCCAAAGGTTGAGCCCCCTGC